GATATAGAGTTCAAAACCAAAGTTATAAGATTTTTCAAGAGTTTTCTAGAGTAGCTCCCTGCAGGTGGTCTACTTCTTCCAGTCAATATGTTGTTAGAAGCTCCAGAAGAGAGGATGAGAAAATTTAAATACCGAGGCAAAGATGCATCTATGATTCGACAACATTGGATAGCAGTCAACGTGCAGCTCCGAAAGGCCAAGAAAGATGAGCAGGTATTAAAGAAAAGAAATATCACCAATCTCTGCTCTCACTCCGCTTCTGGAGAAGAAACCAAAGGGGTCAAGCTCACGCTGGAAGAAATAATCAGTGGTGTGAATGCCTCAGATCCCATCGTATGTTTCCAGGCCACCCAGGCAGCCAGGAAAATGCTGTCCCGGGAAAAGAACCCTCCTCTAAAACGGGTTGTTGAAGCAGGGCTCATTCCAAAGCTCGTGGAATTCCTGACGTCATCATTGCATCCCTGTTTGCAGTTTGAGGCAGCATGGGCTCTGACCAACATTGCTTCGGGGACCTCAGACCAGACTTGAGCTGTTGTGGAAGGGGGCACCGTCAAGCCCTTGGTTGAGCTCCTATCTTCCCCCAACCTAACTGTGTGTGAACAGGCAGTGTGGGCCCTTGGTAATATAGCAGGTGATGGCGCAGAATTCAGAGACTCTGTTATCTCGAGTAATGCCATCCCACATCTACTGGCCCTGATATCATCAACCACACCAATTACATTTCTGCAGAACATCACATGGACCCTGTCCAACCTGTGCCGAAACAAGAACCCATACCCCTGCGAAAAAGCCATGGAGCAAATGCTGCCCGTCCTCTCCCAGCTCCTGCAGCACCAAGACAACGAGGTGCTCTCTGACACCTGCTGGGCTCTGTCCTACCTCACCGAGGGCTGCATTGAGCACACTGGCCAAGTGGTTGACATGGGGGTGCTGCCCAGGCTGGTTCAGCTCATGACCAGCTCAGAACTCAGTATCTTGACCCCATCTCTCCGAACTGTGGGGAACATCGTCACGGGAAGTGATCACCAGACCCAGCTGGCCATTGAGGTGGGAATACTGAGTGTGCTGCTCCAGCTCCTGCTGTACCTCAAGTCCTCCATCCAGAAGGAGGCCACCTGGACCCTGAGCAATGTGGCCGCAGGGTCGCAGCAGCACATCCAGCAGCTGATCGACTGCAACATCCTGCCGCCTGTGTTGGCTCTGCTGAAAAATGGAGAGTTTAAAGTCCAGAAGGAGGCTCTCTGGGTGGTGGCTAACTTCACAAATGGGGGCACCGTGCGTCAGCTGATCCACCTTGCCTATTCTGGAGTCTTGGAGCCACTGGTGAACCTGCTCACCATCCCAGACGCCAAATTTGTTGTCATCATCCTTGACATCATCTCTTTTCTCCTCCAGGCAGCAGAGAAGCTTTCTAAGAAGGAATACTTGTGTCTTCTGATCGAGGAACCTGGTGGGGTTGATAGAATCAAAACCTTGCAATTTCATGAGAACCCTCACGTTGCCCTGACTGCTATGAACATTATTGAGAAGTACTTCTCTGAGGAAGAAGAAAGTGGACCAATATTACAGTCCTTGGACTACGATCATGAATGCATAAAGCACTTAAAATAAAACTACCAAAACTCCACAACTTCTAAACCAAGGACCAAACCCTAAAGGGTAACTTCTTTAAGAAGCAGCACCCCTATATTTTGGTGTATCATGGGTATAATGCTTTTAAAACTGAATGCTAATAAAATTTTTCACACTCTCAAAAAAAATTTTTTTTTCTAGAAACTGCCGATAAATTTAGTGAGACCCTCAAGGTTATGAAAAAGGACCAACTAGAAATTAACTATACACTGACTGAAATAAAGAATATTATACAGAGTTCCAACAGCAGACTAGAGGACCGCAAGAATCAAGTCAAAGA